AACACCTTTCTTCAAATATCAACAGCAAATATCGGTCCGCCAACGTTTGCAACATAAACCGTGCTGTCATGGAAACAAACGATTTGTAGAAACACTCATTCAAAGAGGAACTAGGTTAGCTTTAGCATAGTTTTAGCTAACTATATATTCGGTGACACAGCCGCTAATTCTAACATCAGCTGGTTGTTGCATGTGCCAGTAGGGTGTTCGAGGAGCTTATTTTCATTGTGTTAAAAGCTACAACAGGAGCTTAAATGGTGTCCTGGTGTTTTGTTGTGGTTAGCCGTTAGCTGCTCGTCATGTCCTCTGCTGCCTGTAACAGGTCGGTTAATGTGTCAAAAGATCTTTCACTGATACAACTGAAAGTCCTTCATTCAAAACCTTAAGCTACCTTACGTTTAAAAACATCTACAGGTATTAGAGTAAGAGTACACGTAATGCAGGCTCATTTCAGAATGATATACATCTTGTTATTTAATTGTATTTATTGATATGGTCATTTTATATGATTTCTATATTGTTCTGGCAGCACTTCTTGTGTCACTGAATCCAATGTTCGACGTTGTGTAGTTATAGTAAGTTAGATGTAGCATACCTAAATGATACCATATTAAGTCAGTCTTGCTGCAGCAGCAGAAGACACAGTACATGTGTTAGCTGCAACCTAGGCTATAGCTCACTTCACTAATCCACTGTGTCTGTGATCAGAAGGTCACAGGTTCAAGCCCCTGCTGATATCTCTGTATAAACTTTACTATGTCTCTGTATAAACTGCACTGGTGTGATCAGAGCCAGAGTGTCTAAGACCATAGACTCTGGTTTATACCACACCACAGATCAACAGGAGAGTGGAGAACACTGGGCCACTTCAGAGTGCTCTGGTCCTGCACTGCTCCTGACATTTATCATTATGGGAGGCTGTGGCTCAGTGGGTTAGTGCGCTGATCTTGACTGCAGTCAGCATGTCGTTGTGTCCCTGGGCAAGACACTTCGCCCCAAATTGCTCCTGTGGGGATTGCCCACAGTACCGAATGTATGTAAGTCGCTTTGGATAAAAGCTTCTAACAAGTGACATGTAATGTAATGGATATATGAAATAAAAACATTGTGACATTAAGTCTGTAAGTCTGTTGTAATGTATATTTGATGGGGTGTTCTCTCTTTCAGAGCGTCTCCCTGTCTTTCTACGGTCCCCTGGTTGAACAGAGAGCGATGGCCGGTCCAGAGCTCCTGCTGGACTCCAGCATTCGGATGTGGGTCGTCCTGCCCATCGTCTTCATCACCTTCTTCGTGGGGATCATCCGTCACTACGTCACGCAGCTGCTGCACAGCGACAAGAAGATCGACCTGGAGCAGGTGTCTGACAGGTGAGGGATCTTTTTAATTAAAATAATTACCAAGAGTAAACAGATAAAGTGTTTAATAGACAGTCAAGTTGTCATACATGATTATACAAAAAACGATATTGCCATCAATTACTATGTGTTTGCTTAATTAAGGTGTGTATGTTCCCTATATGTCTATATGAGAATAATAAGAATAGTCCGAAAGTTTCATAACAACAACAAAAAGGTTGTATTGTAATTCAAAAGTGTTATAGCAGTCATACAGAAGTGTAGTTCGTTTGGCAGCAACAAGTCAGTGACTTTGGAGTTATAATAAACTACATTTTTCGAATGTTTGTATTGATGCTTGAGAATTTGCTCGTCGACTAATCTGTATTTTTGTTTGTGTTTGTGTTCAGCCAGGTGCTCCTGCGCAGCCGCGTCCTCAGAGAAAATGGAAAGTATATTCCCAAACAGGTAAGCACACAATCACTAGGAATCAGGAATTTGAAAATCATATACATTTAGTGCTAATGCTGTCTTTACTACTTGTAACGGTAATCGTATTGTAATATTTCTTTGAAAAGTTAAAACGCCACTTAGAAACTCTACAATTTCTCTGTTAGGTTTATGAATGAAATGTAGACCCAAATACGACAGCGTCATTTTGAGCTGTATGATAGACGGTAAACTTGATGTACTATAATAGTTTTTCTTTTATTAGTTACTACTTTCCATATTTTTGAGGTTTGTACTCATGTTTTGTCTTTCTTATTTTGTTGGGATTAAAACACATATCTGGCAGTTTAAAAAATACCTTTTTAAAGTTCTTTATTACGTTTTTAAAGAATCTCTTTAAAGTTATATAGGTTGGAATACATCGAAAGGCTCTGATCTGTTGTGTGTAAACATGTTTCTCTGCTGCAGTCTTTCGCCATGAGGAAACATTACTTCAACGACGCAGAGACCGGCTTCTTCAAGAAGGTCAAGAGGAAGGTCGTCCCCAAAAACCCCATGACAGGTGTGTGTGTGGGGGAGTTTATTTTCAGTGTGTTAATATATTCTTTTCATTTCTGTTTTCCCGATCTTAAAAAAGGAAGCTGTTTTGGATTTGAGGCTTTCGCTAAGGCAGTTTCTTTGTTTTGTATTAATTCACATGAGCACTTCAGTAACATTATCTAAATGTAGTTTTTCTCTATTATATCATTTTTTAACTCAATGGAATAAATGTGTGTGTATTTGTTTTTAGACACCAGCATGCTGACAGACATGATGAAGGGGAACCTGACCAACGTGCTGCCCATGATCGTGATCGGGGGCTGGATCAACTGGGCCTTCTCTGGGTTCGTCATAAGTGAGTTCTCCAGCTGTTAGCCATCAACCTTTTAACACCATTACACACTGGTTAGCTTTTTAACCCTTTTTTATTAAAGATACAACTATTTTGATTCACATTTTCAAAGCTTATTTAAAAAGAAAAAGTCAGACTGTTTAAAAGGTTTTGAGTTTTTAAGAAAACACTAGAGATGCTCCGATCGCCAAATTTGGGGCCGGTCCGTCACAGCGGGTGGAGCTGCAGGATTTCTGCTTCACACACGTTGCTTACCGCTATTTTACTGTCTTTTTCGGACACCTTAAAATACTGCCAGATCGGTGAAGCCATTTTGGCGAGCTTCTTTTTCCGCGCACAGAGAAAAGTGTCATGTATTTTACGTCATCATTTTACGGCTCTCGCGATCTGCATTTTTAGAGAGCACCAGTCGATCGGCAGTAGTGCTGTAGCGACGCGTCGACTTCAAAATATCGTCGACGACATATTTCCTCGTCGACGCATCGCCACACACACGTGGGTCACCCAAACAACAACAAGCAGTTCGCAATCGCACTTTAAACACTATGGAGACTGAAACGGCTACCACCTCCTCCTCACAGGATTGCACACGAAGCCCTGCAAAAAGCCCCCAAACAAAAACATCTCTCCCTAGGTCTTTCAAATTGAATTGATTGAAATCTCCAATATCAACGTAAGAGCTTGTTCGGGGGGTGCTAACACTTAACCATAAACTTTATCGTTTACTTTCTCCGTCTTTATATGTAGATATTACTTTTCTCCGTTAATCTCCGTCACGTTGTTTCCATAGCAACAACAACTTCCTGTCAACAGTATATGTAGATATTACTTTTCTCCGTTAATCTCCGTCACGTTGTTTCCATAGCAACAACAACTTCCTGTCAACAGCGCTACCTTTCCTTCAAAATAAAAGCATATTCATAAATAGGAACAGCCCTAGTGTGTTGTGCAGCTTGAGTTCTGTGCACTTCGGTAGTGCTAACTATCTTATAGCTCTCCGTGCGGTTTGTTCGTGCTTGGTTGGTTAGTAGTTAATGTTAGCTACCTAGCTAGCGGCGCCAGCTGTGTGTTAGTTAACGTTTGCCAGCATTTAATGTTGGCTGGAATGGTAGCTAGTTTACGTCTGCAGAACACCGCTATCTAGCCGCTACTAACCTGGAACGAACAAACTGCACAGAGAGCTCACTCATGTTGTGGTCGTTTACGAGTCAAACATAACATTAGACTAACGTTAGTCAGCTTATAGTA